CCTGTGCAAGGTGTGCATACATACATACTGTAATATATATACACAATATATATATATATATATAATATGTACACACACACATATATATATATATATATATATATATACGAGATATGATATATATCTGTGTATCTAATGGGGAATTTAGGCAGTTCTAGCAACCAGGGAGAGTTTACATTGTAAAAGAAAAGTTTTACACATATTGTCATAGCTGTATTTCTATAACTCAAAATGTTTGACTTTTTAGGGGCTATTAAGGGATTAACAGATTCACTAATACTCCACCAGGACCATGAAGAGAGTAAACATTTGCAGAGATTATCTTTAACAATATTTGATCTTATGATTCTTATGTTTTTTTTTTACTACTATACTATTATTCATGTATTTTCTAATAAATATTTTTTATAATGCCTCTGAAAGAGTAAAACACATCACTGGCGGTTATCTCTCCATTTTAACAGTAAATCTGAGCATGTTGTCATTAATTATTAATTCAATTATTTCATCAGCATTTGTTAACACCACCATGTGTCTGTTCTGCACACATGCTGCAGGTGTGGATGGCATGCTTCATTGTTCTCGTGTGTAAAAAAAAAAAAAAAAAAGAAGACAAACTTTCAAAAAGTAAAAACTTAAAGTCGGATATACCAATCCATTTATTTACAAACTATAACAAAAAAAAAAATCTCAACAACACATTCAAAAACCACAAACCCTCGCTGTCCACCACTTAAATACACTCATGGCTACTCATAGAGCCACCCAAGGTCAACCAGCATTTAACAATAACATGTCTAAATCCTCATATGTCATATCATTGTACGAAAGTGTTTGTGTCGTGTTAATGTTGAACAGGGTGAGCGCTCCTCTTCTACTTCTCAATCTTTGCTAGGCGTCACCCTCTCTTCAGCGTGGGACGTCCTAAAGCCTAGCCCCTCGAAATAACCCATAATAACCTTCGCTCAGGCGTCAGCTGAGTGCCCGTTTCCAGTGACGCTGTGCCTCACCTGGGCGGAGGAGATGCAATACAAGGGTCGAAGTTTTCTCCGAGGTGTAGTGGTTCTCACATGGAAAAAAACAGGAATGGAAAAATGACTAAGGGAGGGGAAGTCTGCCACCTAACCTGACTTAGTGTCTCAGGCCATTAAACAGGGTGGGCATGATGCCTTAATTCATTTTCAACCTAATAAAAAAAAATAGGATGTTAAATTTAATTCATTTGAGGCCATCTGCGTCATGTTTATATTGTTTTGTCCAGGGATGTGGATCCCACATTGAGGTGTACCAGTGGTTCTCAACCTTTCTGGTGGCAGATTAACGGTGAATAGTGTTAAACCTATGAACAAGATAGTCATTCTTATACATTCTCTCATGGGGCTTTTTGCCAGCAAAATAATAGTGAAAATAAAATACTGGTATTCCCCATTTTTCACGGGGACCCCCTTTGAACCTCCTCAAGGAACCACTGCTATACACCACCTGGCCCTTACTTCCAATCAACCCTCCAAGTAAGGCATTTTTGATACTTCTGGTTTCACAGTTTGATCATTATTATAACTCAAGCTGAAAGTCTTTCAATTTAAGGATTTAGGGAACATTTACATCTGCACATCGGGTCAAACTGTTGTGGTAATAATAGTCTCCTGTTACTGTATCTCCATTTTAGGCTATTATCACAACCCTTCTTTTCATTTTGTGATCTTAAAACACTCCTCTTGCCATCCTGAAAAGTGTGATTTTATAAAGTCATATGAGAAGTTCTTCCATGCCAGTGAGGATCTTCTGCTGAATTGGGGTCACATTTTACAAATCGCCGCCATGTTGCAGTCTTGTTTGTTTCTGTTTGCTCTCGTTCACTCTTCTTTAAGGCGTGACTCTATTTTATTGGTCAATATTGACATACTGACATCCGTGTCAGGTTTTCTTACATCTTCCTGAGTAAGGGGTTGACAAAATCAGGAAGCACAATACCTTGATCAGCTGCTATCAGCTGTTTTCTTTTTGTTGCTTTTATTCATTGGTTATTCATTGAATATCACATGCAATGTTGTGGTGGCACTGAAAGTATCTTTGTTTTGTTGAATGGCACCAAAACATCTGAATCACATTACTGACATTACCCAGCACTGGCAACCCTGGAAATATGCTAACCCCTGTTAAAAGCCTGCAGGGTGAACTATCATACTGTTGACGTTTTATTTAAAAGGTGGATGCATTCACTCAAGAGGATGACATCCTCTCCTCTCCCTCCTCAAATCAACCTCGGATAGCTTAAATATTGCAACACAACAACAGGATATTCATAGTGTTACAGATTTATTTAAATACTCTATTTACAATATTTTTTTTGATACTGGGAGAAACCGGAGTACCCGGAGGAAACCCACCACAAACTTGATGCCAACTTACAATACATTAAAAACACAATACAATACAAAACCACAAGAAGCAAAAAATAAAGACAAAAAAATGGCTGGCTGGTGAAGGGGGACAGAGTTTCTCTTCTTAGTCTGGAGCGAGAAAGTAATCCCCAGGCTCATTAACGAACAAGTAAAACATGCTGTAAAGAAACATCATCATAGGACATATGAGTTCCCTTAAGCAAGCAAAAAATATAAGAAAAGTAAACAGAATAGCTGGTGATGGAGGATGGAGTTTCTCCTCTTGGAGCGAGAAGGTGACAGTATGATGTTCATCCTCATCAACTAGTCAGTGACGCTCAGTCAATTACGCTTGCTGTAAGAGAAACACAAAGGAATATGGTTGTAGGACTCACAGGTTAATGGAGTAGCATGTACAATGGTAAATAGAAAGTCATGATCTACCACAATGTCTATACAGTGTAAAGGAGTCATGAAGGAATGTATTGAGGTATCAGGCTCATACATGTAAATGTACTACTTTTTAAAACACAAAATAATGGATCATCCTTACAAATGCATCACACAGGTATTAATCAGCTTACTGCTATTATGTGGGCTGTAAATCAACACACTGAGGTGAAAAATGCCAGCAATCAATTAGCAACCATCCCTTTTTTTTTCTCTCGAGCATTGACCAGTGTGTCTGTGTACCTATTCCCTCGCTACAGCTGAGGAAGAGGAGAGCAGAAAGGCTTCATTGCCCTCTTGTGGTGAAAAGATATGGCATTCATCCAGCTCTTATCTGCTTACAACAGGCCTTCCATGAAGCTCAGCATGATGTGTGTCAGGATGTCTGTCATATGTGGGACAATCGTCTGTCATATGTGGGACATGACAATGTAGGAAAGAGGAGAAGTGTGTGCAGCTAGAGGAAACTCAGAAGTCTCTATTCTTAAGCCTGTGCTGTACCTGAGAAGCTGAAACTTGATGACACGTTTCACAGTTGTCACAGGCTTGGTGGGCCCAGGAGGCAAGTCTGAGAGCTCGACAGGGGGCGGAGTCTGAGAGGGAAGGAACAGACAGTGAGGTCAGTCACACAATATGGAGATCAGGTTAGGGTTAATAGTGTAGATCAACTTAACAGAACACCTTCGAAGATAGTTTAACATACCAGGTCAAGTTTGAACTTTTTGCTTGGCGTCTCAGGCTCAGGAGTTCTGGGTCTCTTAATGCTTTGTGAGGTCTCGCTGAGAGACGGACTGAGCGAGACACCACTGGAGGACACGTTAGAGCAGGGGCCTTTAGTCTCTGAAGTTGGTTCCTCACTGACTTTTAACTTCTTTGATGTTGAAGTTTCTGAAAGAGGGGAGAGTTGTCGTTTTGTGGCCCGTGGAACTGTGGCGGGTGGAGCGTGTTGGATGGGCGTAGACGCCTGGACCAAGGATTTGTTTGTCACAGCCACAGATTCCTACACAGAACAAAACCAATGTTATTTCATTGTAACAATTTTAGCAAGGGCTTGGTCTCGGTCTCAAGTACTAGGACTATTAGAGGAATAGGAAATAAGTTTATTCACTTTCTTGCAAAGGGTTAGGTAAGAAGATTGACTCTGTGTGCTCTGTGTGTGTTAGCTTAGCTCAGCACAAAGACTGAAACATTTAAGAATAATTAGAATCACATCAAAAACTATTTAAAACATTTTCTCATCATCAAAGCATGGAATGGTTTGGCATACCTTCTTAGCTTTGAGCCTCTTAGCTGGCATCTCAAAGTCTGACAAGCCTTTTCTTTTTGTGGCTGGTCGGCCTGCGCTGACAGGAAGTGTCTGAATAGGCGCTACAGTCACAGAGATTTGGTCGCTCATTGCGGGCTCTGGTTTTGGACTGTAAATCTTTTTGTGTTTGCCATCAGGTGCCTCCCACTTCAGATTCTCCCTCTTTCCATATGTGGCTGATATGGTCATCCCCTCCTCGTA